GTCCCTCACATTAGTATTGATTTCACAATTGGTCCTTTATGTTCACAAAAAAACATATTTGGTCCCTCATGTTTCAAAAAATCAACACTTTTAGTCCTTTCGGTGAATTTTAATTTTTACGTCAACACTAACGTAATTAAGCGTGTACCTCAATGGCTTAACTGACAGACTAACGGTAAATTGATAGAAATGACTAAAAACGTTAAATTATTGAAAAATGAGGGACCAAATGTGTTTTTTGTAAACATAGGAGACCAAATATGAAATCGATGCAAACTTGAGGGATGAAAAACGTAATTTTTCCTTTTTTCATATCAGGACACAGTCATGTTTTCGCATATTATTAAAAGTCCATCGGACATCTTAGTTAAAGAGTATAGGTTAAAAATACATCATTCTTCTTCACTTCATCCATCCTCAAAACTGCGTCTATTTCCTAAAAATGATGTTTCTTCACTCATCCGCCTCTCCGTACTACTAGTCCACGGCCGCCGACACCCCATAATTTTCGCCAACCATGACACTAGAAAATGTTATACTCATCGGCTTTAATCCTCTTTTTCAGTGTAGAATGTATATTTTCGATCCAAAATTTCAAACTATTTTGTTCATTTTCAGTATATTAGATTGTCTATTTTCAATAAAAAAATCTTTCACCGAGTTATTTATTTTCAGTCTAAACTGTTCGACTAAGTTAGTTCGAGTATGAATTTGTCCCTAGAACTAGTTGTCAACAAATATAAACCACAACATGAAGTTAAATATCAACCATGGCCGGTCATGGAGGAATTGATAAGATGATAATGATATATCTGGAGGTGTGACAGTAGTGCAATAAAATAAATTGTAGATATCTCTATTATTTTTTTGGATCACAACTTTATATTATTTGGCAACCCATCACCATATATTCCTATAGATTTTCTTTTTTTATTTTTGGAATAATAATTTCAATGGCAAAATTCCATCTCACTAGTTATATAGGGCATTTAACATTTTATTATAGATTGAATTTATAAATTGATTGTATTAATTCTATGTTGTCTACTTAGTTATTTGATAAGATGTGTAGTTCTTCTGTATTATTATAATATCTGCTATCAATATTATTATAAAAAAAAAATAGTATTGATTGTAATTTCTTATTAATATTCTTAATTTATAGTATTTTAGAAATATGGGCAAATTACGGCCACCCCTTGAGGTATGACCAAATTACGAAAAAAAACCATCTTGTTTGGGTAATTACAGCCACCCCCTTTTAAATATTTTTACAAAAAAAGTTATGTAATTCGGTTATTTACCGAACCAAATCGTATATTCAGTTCGGTACATGGTATGAAATGTTGGCGTACTGAAATTTCGGTTCGATTTTACCGATTTAACATCCCTAAATTTATCTCTAGAAATGTTTTTTCGTAAGACAATACATAGTTGAGGGGAGTGACTGTAATTACTCAAATATGAAGGGGTTTTCGTAATTTAACGATAACTCAGGAATAGTTGTAATTTGCCCTAGAAATATTAATAAATGATACATTTCATTCGTGACTTAAACTTTTAGTTCAAATATTCACCTAAGAAAGATAGGAAAAAAAAAAAGGTAGAAAAAGCGATACCGACACTTTTGATATTTCGATTGAAGGCACCTTTTGCTTTAAAAAAAACCAAACCGTCCCCACCCAACCAATACCTAATTCAGAGCCTTAATTATTACAAATTGATATCTTTTATTATTACATTGCATACAAAGTTATGAAACATCAAGTCCATAGTATTTTTATTTTATTTTGAATAAACATTTAGTAATTAGTTACATAAGAATTAATGTATTTCATAAAGTATTAAAAAAATGACCATCAATATTAAGGAAGTAGTTAAGCCATCAAGGGTGGTCCGTAGTTGTGGTTCGGCGCCAACTAGACAAGTAACGGCAATTGAACGAAAAATTTCCAGGCCTCGAATTATATAATAGTACGCGAAAGTATAACGCTACTTAGAATTGAC